TCTCTCTCTCTCTCCCCAAAAAAAAAAAAAAAGGCAGATTCGAGCGGTTAGGATCGGGCTCGTACTAGCGAGCTACTCTTTCTCTGTGGATGGATGTGTTTTGTTGGTTTGTTTTCTTATACATGGCCTAAGTCTTTGCCCTGCGTTGTAGCATGTGGGTGGCCTTTTTCTGGGGTGGGAGTTTGGGGTTTTGGCCACAATATCTCTGTGAGGAGGCTCAGAGAGTGTTTGCTGTGGGTGTCGTTCCCGCGGGCTGCTCTTTCGGAGCACATGGAAGAATGGGGTGCCTTCTAGGGTGGCCTCGCTGTAGCACTAGGACATCATCCGATGGCATAGTTCTCCTGGTGTCGCATGGAGAAGTGTATGCAACACCAAGAGTGCCATGAATCCGATGGCATAGTTCTCCTAGGCCACCCTAGTAGCGCTCCTGGTGTCACATGGAGACCTTGTGGAATTTGGCATAGTTCTCGCAGTGGCCTCGCTGTAGCACTAGGACATCATCCGATTCTGCAGGACCTGTAGCACTAGGACATCATCCGATTCATTGCACTCTTGGTGTTGCATACAGGTCCTGAGGTGTACTCTTGATTTGTGGTGCCTTTATAGGCCGTCGCAGAAGGCTCTGAAATTCTTTTGTTAGACCATTGGCATGTGTGGTCGGTGCTTTTTTGTTAGTGGAGCCTTCTGTGTTATGCTGTTTTGTGGTTTTGTGGGCCGACGTTGAGGGCTCTCCAAGTTTTTTCGGACCTCTGGCGGATGGGGTCGGTGCTTTCTTGCTGCTGGAGTCCTCTGTCTTAGGTAACTTCCTTCTTGCCCTCCACCTCTTTAGGAATCAAAAAAATATATGTATATATATCGTCAAATAGAAGTGCCCGGTAAACCGTAGGCAGAGAGGGAGAAGAGGACAACAAACGAGGGGCTGTGACAAACTGTTTCGTCGGAGTTTCACCGACTCATCAGGAGATGTGCAAGTGTGCCGCTTCGGCGGCAGACGGGTGTGTGGGCACTTGGCGCTGAACCGCACAAACGTGGCCAACCTTGCATTTCTATTATATAGTCTATCGGCACTTTTTCCGTCAAGGATGGTTTGTTATCATTTGTGGAGGGAATGAGAGAGAGAATTTGGGGTGCTTTAACAACACACACACACACACACACACACACACACACACACACACACACACACACGCACACACACGCACACACAGACACAGACACGCAGACGCCCGTAGCAGTCCCTCCCTTCTCAAATTGAACTTGTGTATCGTGCTGTGAAGTCCCGAAGTCGTTCCCATTTGTGTATCTCCAGAGTCCAAACTCTTGTGAGCATTTCTTTGAGGGATGCTGGACCCACTTTCCAGCAGGAGCCACTCCGCACAAATAGCCTGGAGCACTCGGCGAGCCTGATAGGGGGAGATGCTCATATCGCTCCGTCTAGCAGCAGCACAACGCTGCCGTTCCCCCTCTCCTCCCCCCCCCCGCCCCCCGCAAGAAAAGAAGAAGAAAGAAAGAAAGTACAGTCATTATCACTGTGTCTAGAGTGAAAGTTGCCCCAAAATATACAGCGCTAATGACCGTACGACGTACATTCTATTCGGGGGAAGATGGTAATCACAGTACGACTGTCGGGAGTGGTCTGCCCTTCGCCCCGGGAAGAGGGTACCGATGCCCATCTAATCCAATGAATTTGATTTTTCAACCTTTTCCCTTAAAGTGGGTGGAAAATGCATGCCGCATTTCAGTTCTACCGAAGGAAATCTTATCATGTCGCGCTCAACAATGTCGTTCATGCGCACTGAAAAAAGGGGGAAAGATAACAGCGGACAGCCGTAAGTGAACGTCCTGACGTACCATGTGGATCGATGGTTTTTATTTATCGATCATGTATCGCAGAGAGTGAGGATTACTGAGCTGAAGAGGCAATTGGCAAGGCTTGAAGAGAATGTGCAGGCATCTGCCGGAAGGTCAACCACACCAGGGCCAAGCAGAACTGCAGATGTGGATGAGGTGCTGCTCCCCATCGACAAGGTATGTGTGTCACACACAAATATCCTCTCTCTCTCTCTCTCTCTCTCTCTCTCTCTCTCTCTCTCTCTCTCTCTCTCTCTCTCTCTCTCTCTCTCTCTCTCTCTC